TGGCTTACAAATAGCTGAATGTAGTTTTCAGCGAGGTACTGTTTAAGTACTGTTTATCTTCCGTGCTGAGTTTGCTCTGCTGAAGACGTTCTGTGATGTGTCCAATGCGAGCAACTTTGAACCGATGAGTTGTGCCGCGGTCATCGATGATCTGGAGAGTGGTCACACCGCACTCTGTCTCTTTTGGCCGCTGCTCTCCGAAGGTGTTGATTTTCACCGAAGCGTGTCGATATTATTCAGTCCGAGGCGTTTTGCTAGGTCTTCAGTGACGAAGGAGTGATCTGAACCTGTGTCAAGGAGAATATGAACGCTCTCCAGGGCTTGTGTCGATGGGTTGAGTACCTCTGCTTCTCCGACGAGAACGCAGTCCTTTGAGTCGTTGTCTGTAGTCTTCATGCACAGCACGGCTTCGACATCTTCATCATCTGTGCCGTCCTCGACCTGGTGATCGATGGTCGAGGAGACGAAATTCTGTCTTGTTGCCTTTCGTGGCGGAGGCTTTTGAGCTGCGGTCGGCATCTTCCTTTCCGCTCCAGGCTGCGGTCCATTCTCTTGGAGAGGATTTGCTTGACGGCATATGGAAGTATGATGTCCGACTTTGTTGCAAATCCTGCATGCTCCTTTCGAACATTCACTGGCCTTGTGATTCCGTCCTCCACAGTTCAGGCTCAGAGAGTTCCGCTTCATGTGATCCAGTCTTTGTGCTCGTGTGGTGAGCTTCGGACAGTTTCTCGGAGAGTGATCCATCTCCTCACAGAAGAAGCATATGATGCTCTTCCGGCTCTCGATCCTTCCGCTCTTGGGCTTCATTGACTTCGCTGAACCGCTTTTCTGTTGAATCGATTCCTGCTCTCCGTTCGCTTTGCCGAGATGTCGCTGGATTTCCGCTTCGGTATCAATGAATTTGCAAACGTGCGAAAGTAGGAGACCAGTTGTCCATTGATCCGCTTGTTCGTGTTTCGTCTTGAGCACGTGCCTTTGAACCGCTTCGTTGAACTTAGACAAGATTGTCTTGGAGGAGAACGTTATCGACCGACTCCCCCTTGAGTGCCATCTGTGTGATGATCGATAATACTTCTGTAAAGTATCCTCTGATCCTCTATTTGGCTTCCTTGAGCATGGCACTTCTCGAGTCTTCCGGCCAATTCATTCAGAAGCAGCTGCGGGTCACCATACTTCCTTTTCAAGTGGTCGATCGGAAAAACGACCAGGTACATCCGCAGATATTGCTCGGATGTAACGACACATTTTCTCTACTGGACAACACGGAGAGGAAAATGGAAACGCTCCCTTCGGGACTACGGCTGATCCCCTCGCTGCTCGGATACCTCGTCGCCGGACGGATCCACGAGCACACTAAAGGGAAAGCAATGACTGCTCTAGCTTCAACTACGCCACACGAAGATGAGAAGTGGGACGACTTTCTCGCTTTGCAAGCTTCTGGAATCCAAGAATTTGCAGGGAGCAAAGCTCAAGAGCAGGAACAAATCAATGAGATGGTATGGAACACCTTCGAAGTCCACGATCGAACGTCATGCAAATGGGTATCACGTCCGCCTACCGTGGAAGGAGGAAGCGCAAACGCTACCGGACAACAAGTCGATAGCACTCAAACGCCTCCACTCCAGTCTCTTCAAGCTTCGGACTACGCCGGAGGTATTACAGCAATATCACCAAACTTTCCAGGATCAACTCGACAAGAACATCATTGAAGAAGTCGATGTCCATCAACCGTCCGACGGTAACATCGTTCACTACCTCAGCCATCAAGCCGTGATCACGCCGACGAAGGAATTCACGAAGCTGAGAGTTGTGTTCGACGCCTCCGCGCACTTCAAGAATAAGCCATCGTTAAACGATGTTCTATACCAGGGACCGGTCATTTTGCCTGTCATGCGGGACATGCTCCTACGATTCAGAGTGGGACACATCGCCATGATCGCCGATGTCGAGAAAGCATTCCTGCAAGTCCATCTCAATGTGAAGGACAGGGACGCCACTCGATGTTTATGGGTCCGAGACACGTCGCAGTCACCGGAGGGACCAAATCTAGTTACATATCGTTTCACCCGCGTCACCTTCGGGCTAAACTGTTCGCCATTCTTGTTAGCAGGAACAATCAAGTACCATCTGCAGGGACACACGCAGCATACGGATCTGGCTGAAGAATTACAGGACAATGTTTACGTCGACAATGTGGTCCTCACAGCGTCCAGCACGGAAGAAGCGTTAAGGAAATATAAGACTTCCAGAGCGATATTCAAGGAGATGAACATGCATCTCCGCGGATTTCTAACTAACGACGCTAACGTCAACAATGCAATCCCAAGCCAGGACAGAAGCGGACAACCCATCACGAAGGTCCTCGGACTCATGTGGAACTCAAAGGAAGACACACTAGTAATTGAAGGAAGATTTATCGCGAAACCAGTGGTCACGAAGAGAACCGTCTCAGAGCAGATCGCCTCCATCTACGATCCCTATGGGTTGGCTAACTCCTCTTCTGGTGAAAGGGAAGCTGTTCCTTCAGTCTCTGTGGAAGTATGGCTACGACTGGGACACGAAACTCTCGTGTGAGCATGAGAAAGAATGGAACGAATCAATTGCTCAAGTAAATGGCTTCAGACGAGTCTTTCAACGTCTCATTTCATCGCTCCATTCAGAAGTGAAACTGGTGGTCTTTGCGGATGCTAGCACTCAATCAATGGCAGCATGCGCCTATATTGTGGCCGGTACAGCATCTCACCTGGTATTCGCACGATCGAAGCTCGCCAACATGAAGACACAGATGACCATCCCGAAGAAGGAGCTACACGCCTTAACGATGGCTACGAGGATAGCACTGATGGTACACTCCGCGTTGGCCCAGCAACTCAACTTCACTGCCGTTGAAATCTTCACGGATTCCGAAATAGCTCTAAGGTGGATTTCCACTTACCCTATCAAGAAGGAGGTCGGCCGTTTCGTCAAGAGACGAGTAGAGGAAATTCGAGCTATCGTGGAAAACATGGACATTAGTACACGCTTCGGTTACGTTAACACGGACGACAACCCTGCCGACAGCGCCACAAGAGGACTAACGGCCGTCGAAGCTGAAAACCACATTTGGTGGACCGGGCCTCAATTCCTAATTCAGCCCGAAGAAGAATGGTCAAAAGAGCGCCGGATGTTCAAGCTTCCTCAAGATGTGGACGCTGGACCAGAGGAATCGGCTACCGAACAAAACGTCATGTTGACAACAACTTCGGACGTATACAATGGCAACGGAAGCGAACTTCTCGACTGGAGCAGACACAACACCTTAATCTCTGCGCAAGCTTCAGTGGCATACGCGATGCGATTCATATGGAGGATTTGCTCTCGCGTCAGTGAACCACTTGCTTCAAGGATCAAAGAAACCATACCAGAACTGGGAACTTGCCGGAAAACTTCCATCCTCAATGCTAGCGAACGAAGAGCAGCGCTACGTGTCATCATTCGGAATCACCAGAGGATCCACGTTACTGAACAACTGCGACGCTCTGTGAAAAACCTAAATTTGCAGCCAGACCAACATGGAATTTTTCGTTGTCGAGGGAGAATGGACAGAGCGGACATCCCAGAATTGGCGAAGAACCCTCTGTTCATCGCGGCAAAGACGCCCCTTGCGCTATGCATCATCAACGACGCTCACTTGCCGCTCCACCAAGGAATCTCGCACACCATGGCTACAGTGCGAAACGAGTACTGGATACCGAAACTGCGCCAGCAAGTACAAGCTGTAGTCAGGAAATGCATTCCATGTCAGAAGATGAATGCATTACCCTTTCAGTATCCGGCTATGGGACCGCTTCCGGAACGACGCGTGATCAAGACGAAACCCTTCGAGAACATCGGAATCGACTACTTCGGTCCTCTTACAACGAAAGGAAGAGAGGATCGCAACAAAGTTTATGGACTTATAATCACGTGCATGACGACAAGACTAATCCACATCGAAGTAGTCACGGAGATGTCAACAGAGAAATTGCTGCTAGCACTTCGAAGATTCTTCGCTCGTCGAGGAGTACCGAGGAACAATCACTTCAGATAATGGTCCTTCGTTTCTCTTGGCCGGTCAGATTCTCAACGACACCTTCCTCTCTATCTCCAATGACGAAGACCTCCGAGGCGCAATGGCAAGAAGAGGAATAGAATGGACGACCATTTCACCTTATGCTCCGTGGCAGGGAGCGTTTTACGAACGGTTGATAAAAT